AGCCAGTTAACCATGTGACTGTACACTGGAAAAGAGAAATGAGACATTTTGAGGACTATTGGACACAGGCTATGAATTGACTTTGATACTCAAATTGTCACCATGCTCCCCTTTTTGTTAGATTGGAGGCGTAAAGGAGTCCAATTATAACTGGAGACCTGGCTAAAGGAGGCCCACTGGTTTTATGAACAAACCCAGGGATGATTTTCCCAGTCTCTGAATGTACCATTGGAGTTGATACACTTGACAGTTGAAGTAACCCCACATTGGGTCCTTGGCCTGTGGGATAAGAGCTACCATAGTGGGAAGGCCACCCCTGGAACTGGTTCCTATCCCACCCTGCTGTGCATAGATCCTATGTTCCCCTAGTCATGACTCGGCTTGAGGTAGCATATAATCAGTATTTTGTAGCATCAAGAATGGATCGGCTCGGGGGTAATATGGTCAGTGAGAGATTTCAACAACTGATTAGAGATGCTCGAGACAATAAATAAGGCAAAGGCAGTAGAATCACAGGAGAGACAAAATCAAGCAAGTTGTGTACATGTTTGACCTGTAGGACTTTGACCTTTTGGAGTGTAAGGAGAAGGAGTCTCGTAAGTAGTTGCTATGTTCCTGCCTTTAGATTACTCGATGGATAATAATACATCTCAAAAGAGAAGGAATACAGAAGGTGAAAGTTGATAGCAATGACCCTGAGTTTAGTTTTCTAATATGGCTGAAGTGTATGCAGGATACTCCAAAACTTGGGTCAATAATGCAGACAAAAAGATTGGGCTAGAAATACATATATGGGAGTCAGCATGTAGGTGGAAGCTGAATTTGGAAAAATGGGTGAGTCTGCTCTAGGAAAGCATGAAGCATGATCAAGGGTAGAGAAATGAACCCCATGGGACAGCAGTGTTTTAGGAGTCAGGTGGGGAAAAGAAGCCAGAAAAACCATGAGACCAGAATGGAAAGGAACTAGATAGAGTAAGAAGTTACGTTAAAAAATTTGAACAGTCAAAGAAGGGAGAGAGTAGTAGGTAAGTAAAATGATAGCGTCAAAAGAGACGTGTGTTTTGTTTTAAGTGGGACGAGCTAAAAATGTTTGTGTGCTAGTTAGGTAGAACTTGTAAAGAGTGAGAGGTAGAAAATTCAGAAAGTGAGTGACTTCTAGGGACTTAGGAGGGAGTGACTTCAGTTTGCTTTGCTTGGCCTGAGTCCCCATCCTGTGTCATTCACAGTCCTCATAGAGTGGCAATTGCTCAGGAGTCCAAAATTTCTTCGCACCAATTGGCAGCCACTTCAAGAGGACAATGTGAATCGAGCTTTCCAGCTCCAACATGTTTCACGTGCACTCCATCTGTCTCAAAGGAAACAGATCTTGAAAATGCAATATGGATTTAATATGGAAAGAGGAGGATGGGAAAAAACTTGGTTTGACTTGCCAAGGGTAATTGCTGGTGGAGTTAAACCTAAATTTGCAACTATTATTGGAGAATCTACAGCCAAATCAAATCCTTGTCCAGTCATCAAAAGTTGTTCTCCCTGTCTTATTTCCCCAGACACTGTGCTCTGTCCTAATCACCTGCTCTGATTTATACAGAACAGAGGAGAGACCCTACTGATCTGGATTCTGAATTTAAGATTCTCCTAGTCATGACTGTTGCTTCATGATACAGGAGTTATTTTCTCAAAAGAAAAAAAGCAAAAATGCTCATTTATTCTCAATCAGAAGGTGAAGATCTGTAACCACTGCTTTAAAGTAGAAATGAATTTTCAATAGTTCTCGAAAGTGGGAATTTCTTGAAATGAAGGACATGGCAAACTTGAGAACATTTTTCAGAGTGCAACTTTCATTTTCTACTCAGAAAACTGAAGAACTCAGTAGCTGTTCCTTCCACTTGGTAAAGATGGTGAACCAGAATTTCTAAACTGTTCCTTAGAAAGTAAGGGTTCTGTGGGATGTCTTGTGGGCTTTTAATTTTCAATCAGAGTTGCTCCACTTTTATGTTTTGTATTAGTGCTCCACAAACATTTACTATTATAGAGCATGTTTCTCTCATTAAAAAAAAAAAGCTTTTGAAAAGCACTTATCTAAACAAGAAACACATGCATTTAAATATTTAATTTACAATATAGTAAATAAAATACATTTGGAATAGGTAATTCATTTTTATTTCAGAACCATTGTCTATTATTGGAATAAATATTAGGATGCTAATATTCATAAACAATTTTTTCTTTCTTTTTAAAATCTGTACCTTACAGTCTAGGTTATTTTTTATAGCTTAGCATCCATTAGTGGCTGCTTTTGAGTTTTGAGGTATATACTGAGCCTGAAACTGAAGTTGGTTCAACATGATTTAAAAGTCCTTTGTTGCACCTAATTAAGAGTCTTCTCTGCCCAGGCACTGAGCTGAGCATGGGGAGAATAAAGATGAGTCTGAGAACTTCAGAGTGTCACAGTCTGGTAGGAGAGTCAGGTCAGTCTGTTATCAGTGTTCACCGTATTCTTCAGAGCAGCAGCACAAAAGGGGATTGGTGTCATGACGGGAAAAAGTGGAAGCTGATGCAGTATGAATCACTAGCATTGATCTAGTCTCTGTTCTGAGCCAGACACAGTGCAATGCTCCAGGGAGACCACTGCTCTCTGGTGTCTGCTGTATGTTAGGGGAGATGAAGTTAAATAACCAAAATTGGAAATATATACAGATTTACACATTTAAATGAATTACATGAAGGAAACGTGTGAGAGTAACAAGAGCAAACTCTTTTAGGGTCCCTTCAGGAAATTGGCATTTAACCTTAAAGAGTAATAGGATGCTAATTATTGCTACAAAGGCAATAGTATTATGATATACAAATGAATCAAATAATATGTTGTATAGTTTAAATTTACACAATGTTACATGTCAAATGTACTTCAATTAAAAATAAGTTTAAAGGAGTCAGATGAATGAAGAGAAAGGAAAGTGTTCTTGTTAAAAAAACAACAACAACAGAATCAGTCCCTGAGCTGAATCTGGTCAAGCCCTTTTACAGTAAACACAGAGGACAAAAGAATACCCTAAAATGGAGGAATAAATGAACTTAGCAAAATCCAGATAGAAAACTACAGGAAATTCACATAAGTCCTTAAACAACAACAACAACAAAATTTGTGAGGAAAATAAAAAACAGAGGGAGAATATTCAGATTAAAGAAAATTTAAGGCATGTATCTAACAACAGTGTGTAGCCCTTATCTGGATCCTGATTCCAACAGATTGTTAAAACAAGAAAATGGGGGAAAGTATATGAGACAATTGCATATTTAAATACTGCTAGGTATTTAGATAGTCTGAATAGTTGGATAATATTAAATAACTATTTCAAATTATTTTTAGATATGAAAATGATATTGTGATTATAGTTAGAGAAAGACTTTTTCCCCCTGAATTTATAAGTGAAAAGTATGAGGTCTGGTACTGCCTTCAAAATAACCCAGGAGAGGTGTCTAGATGGTGATTTAGATGAAATCAGACTGGCAGGGAATCAATAGTTATTGAAGCTGGATGATGGATGGCTCCATGAGGGTTGGTGACATTACTGTCTACTTTTATGTTTGAATTTTCCTGTAATGTAATAACTTCAAAAAGCAGGAGGAAAAACCCAAGAAAATAAATAAAATAATTATATTATAATAAATGCTTTAAAAAGAAACTAACAAATGGTCTTCCCACTTACATTCTATCCTAACCTAAAGCACTGGAATCAGTTCAGGCTACCAGGTCAACTCCTCTCTAAATCATCCAGAAAAAAACTTGTCAGGTGGGGCCACACCCAAGTTGGGAGAGGAGTGCTTTCTGGGTTGAATCTCCACTGCAGACTCAGTTTCTTTCCTGGAAGGGAGGAGCCAGGATTCCAGCCATAGTCTGCCTAATCCAAAACCATTTGGTCACACCCTGATCTAGACAATGTTGATAGATTTTAGATGCAGAAGAACTACCCTGAGGGCTTGTTGAAGCACAGATTCCTGGGTCCTGCCCTCAAGGATCTGATTCTGAAGGTCTGCGGTGGAGTATTATAGTTTATTTTTCCAATCAACTCTTCAGTTAACTCCCTGGCACTTTGAATATGATATAGTACTAAATTAAACTCACCCAGGCTCTCTGGGTCCTGAGACTGATGGACCAGGTTATTCTCCTAGTGGCAGAGAAAGGCCACTATGAGACCAGTGGATTCCAGTGCTGCCATGTTGTTTGTGAATATTTTCCTTTAGTAATTCTGGCTCCTAGAGTGGCCAATGAAAACATCTGTGACTTCTCCAGCCTCATGCCTTGTCATATCCTGCCTCCAACATTATCTTCAAGCAGTCCCCAAGTTCTTGCAGTTTCTTCTCCTGCATTCACTAGTGTATCACTTGTCTTAGTGTTTTGGCTCTTGCTGTTCTTATTCTGAACAGCCAATCCCTTCCATTCTACTCAGCTCACCATTATTGCAAGCTTAAATTTTGTTTTTAGAACTAGATCTAGGAGAGATCATGTTATCCAACCCTTACAATCTAAATCTAATCTCCCAGTGAGTGACACACCCATGGGTATAAATCAACTATAAAATACCTCTAAATCTCCTGTTCCTGCTACAAAACATCATTAAATTCATCACCAATATTGTGTACAAATATTGTTTATTCATTTGTAACTTGTCAGCAACTGTTTGCCATTTTCAGTTTTCTTGTCTCGCCTTAAAGGAGTAAAGACCAAAATTTTTTTAAAAATTAAGAATGATATTAATTACCCAATAATTTAACTCTCACCTAATAGACAAGATTAGATAAAAAACTGATGAAATTATCAGACTGTCAGATTAAGAGGCAGGAGAAAAAGAGGAAGATGGAAACAGCTCTTCTGGGAAACAGGAAGTAGAAGGAGACATTTGCTTATAAAAGGAGGGCTAGAAACCCTCAGGTTAAAAACGACTGAACTGCGGATATCCTTAACGTTGCTGGCTTTGCTTTTCTCTGAGTTCCTCTAAATGGACTGCTCAGATTACGAGAAGGTAAGTTTAGTTTGAATATAAATAATTTTGCCAGATTCACCTTTTTTCTTTTTTTAGGAGGCGGGGGAGAGATAATTAGGTTTACTTATTTACTCGATAATTTTTTTACTTATTTACTTTTAGAGGAGGTACTGGGGATTGAACCCAGGACCTTGTGTATGCTAAGTATGTGCTTTACCCCTTGAGCTATACCCTCCCCTCAGGTTCACTTTTTAAAGCCTTTCCAGAGCTCACTTATAGTTCCCTCTTTCTTTCTTTCTTTCTTTTTTTTTTTTTTAACGGAGGTACTGGAGATTGAACCCAGCACTGCTAAGCATGCGCTCTACCACTGAGCTATTCCCAACCCCCGTATTTCCCTCTTGTCATGAGTCTTTCTGAATGTAAGAAATCTCCAACTGGGAACCTCCTCTTTGCAAGTGGATTATTACTTTTCTTTTTTTTTCCAATGTAATAATTTTTTGGGGGGTAAAAATTTTTTAATTGAATTGTAGTTGATTTTATAAATGTTAATTTCTGGTGTACAGCTAAGTGATTCAGTTATACATATACATATATATGTATATTTTTTTCAGGTTCTTTTCCATTATAGCTCATTACAGGAAATTGAACATAGTTCCCTGTGCTATACAGTAGGTCCTTGTTGTTTATCTGTTTTATATATGGTAATGTGTAATTGTTAATCCCAAACTTCTATTTTAGCCCCCCTCCCCCTTTCCCCTTTAGTAACCATAGTTTGTTTTCTATGTCCTGAGTCTATTTCTGGTTTGTAAATAAAATTTGTATCTTTTTTTAGATTCCACATGTAAGTGATATTATATGATATTTGTTTTTCTAACTTAATACGATAATCTCTAGTTCCATCCATATTGCTGCAAGTGGCATTATTTCAATTCCTTTTTGTGGCTGAGGATTATTACTTTTCTTTCACACGATTGTGGCTTTGTATATACTTGTGTGAAAGTGAAAAGGAGAAACTAAATATTTTTGCTCCAAAGTAAGAGTCATTTTGTCGAAAGTCGTGTTGTAGCTGGGCAAGATAAAACGGTAAAGAAATGGAGAGCTACAGGAAAAAGAAAGTGAGGTAGGGTAATGTGGATAAGGTCCGAAAGTGAAGTGACTAGTTGGTTTCTTTCCTCTGCGTGTATGAAGTAACTAACTTTCCAATGGCCTTGGTACCAAATGGGTTCCTGGCTAGGGTTGGGTAGTCCTGGACTAGAGGAGAAAATAAATTGAATAAATTTCATAGGTATTTACAAGGACCTCTATTCCAGGCTAGAGGACTAAATTGGTCTATATTTAGTATATGATTATGGGCAAGTCATCTAGCTGCTTTGAGTCCCCACTTACCTCTAATCCCCCCATAATGTCAATTTTTTTAAAGCTGACCAGTGAAGAATGTACAGGAGTGCTTTGAAAAAGTGCCATGCAAATGCAAAATCGCTGAAAGCATAAGAGCGAGGGGAAGTCATTGAAGAGATTAGGCAGGGGGAAGGACGTGGCCCATCAGCTCTTAGCCATTCTGAGAGGAGTATTACAACAAGGCTGGAATGGACTTGAGAGGAAGCTAAGAAACTTAAGCGTATGTGACTACGGCATTGGTCCTTTAATTTCTGACAGTCAGCTGACTAATTTGTAAAGTAGGAAAGCTAACAAATTACTACAAGTATGTTATAGGATTAAATGAGAGAGACACAGAAAGCTCCTACCACAGTGTATGTGTACTGTACAAAACCAGTGAAGTCAGTCTCTACTTATCCACATTGTCTCTTATTCATTAAATCATTAAAAGAACGTTAAATGTCCATTCTGCTGGGCACTGTGTGAGCCCTGTGATTGCAATGGAGAGTAAAACATATATTTGCTCCCCTCATGTCATGAGGCTGAAATAAGGTTGGTATGGCTGAAGCTCAGAAAGTTCAGGGATCTTAAACTGGAAAGGTAGGCAGGGGCTGACTGTTCAAGAATTTGCAGGTTACATGAGGGAGTTTTATCTTTAACTTGAATAGCAATGATAAGCCACTGAAATATTTTAAACAAACAGGAGAGCTGTCTGCAGAGAGGAGTTAGAATGGGTTTGGGAATAACAGGAGATTATTACACCTGCCAGTGAAAGTTGATGACAGCTTGGAACACATGAAAGAAGATGGCAAGGCAGAAACACCTTCCATACAGATTTAGGAGCTAAAATGAAGGTATTTGGAGTTTTAGCTGTTGGAGAGGAAGGCCATGTAGGAAACGGTTTCCCCAAACCAAGCTCTGGCCTTTAATTTCCGCTTATCACCCATATGTAAATCTGCTTTTGCCCACTTCCTCATTGCTTCCCTTATCTAATAGAGGGTTCACTAATCAAAATCAAATTCAAGAAACCTCAATCGTCTTTCTATCTTACTATTGGCTTCTCAGTTTTTTCACTTCTTTTTGTTAGAATGGAGGTACTGGGGATCGAACCCAGGACCTCATGCAAGCTAAGCTGCGCTCTAAACCACTTACCTATACCCCCTCCACCGCTGCCCCTGCCGCTTCTCAGTTTATTCATCATGAAAGTAAACATTTTAGTTGCACAGCATCCAATGAGAATCAATGATTGACCCTTTCTTTTCCAGAATTTCTTTGAGGAGGGATTAGATGAAGAAGAAAGTGTGGTCCTTACATTAGTTCCAGTTAATGAAGAAATTGTTGAAGAGTATCAAATGGAACCAGGTATTTCTTCAACTTCAGAAGCCAACCTGGAGCCACTGAATACAAACGATCAAGGTATGAGGACAACAGAGTTATCTCAGTTTGCTGCTCCGCCAGCTCTGGGAAGCCCGGGAAAAGTAAGGTTTTTCTTCCTCTATCCTTTGACTATACAACACCTGGCTTAAATCTCACCTTGATTATCTGTGGTAAGAGATTTCTCAGACGCTCATACTTTTCATTTGCTAAGCATCATGTACTGTCTAGCTTGTAAGAAGATACAAAAAATAGGTCCGTGGAGTGCTTCGATCAGAGCAGGATCTTACGGGGCAGCTAGGTATAAGCTCACATTCTTAAGCCATGAAGCTCAGTCTTCTCTCCATTTTAGTGAACACATTTTTTACACACCTCTTATGAAGACCAAGTAGTTTCTCCTAGCTTTTTGAGGTATAATTGGCACATAACCTTATGTAATTGTGTAATTTTAAGGTGTACAATGTGATGATTGATATACGTATATATTGCAAAGTGATTACCAAAAGAAAGTTAATTAACACATTCATCACCTCACACAGTTAGCTCTTTTCCCTCCTTGTGGTAAGAACACTTAAGATTTATTCTTATCAACTTTAAAGAATATAATATAGTATTGTTAACTATAGTCACCATGCTATATATTAGATCTCCAGAACTTATTCATCTTATAACTGAAAATTTGTACCCTTTGATCCAAATCTCTTCATTTCTTCCACCCCCAAGTTCCTTGTAATCACTAATAAACTCTCCATTTCTGAGTTCGGCTTTTTTTAGATTCCACATATAAGCAAGAGCATATGGTATTTGGTCTAAATTTGGTCTAAATATTGGGAGACTAAATAATTTTGAAAAACATCTAGTCTTTTGCTTGGTAAATAATTACTGATCAAATACCATGACCCTTATTCTCAGGGCTTTCTATAAAGGCATTGAATATGTATTTTCAAAATAATTTTATTTTGGGGCCCAGTAACGGGGACCTCAACATGAAGTAGATAGTGACAAGTTAGAGCTCAGCAAAGTGATGTGAGACAGGGTATATTTTCTCTGTAGAGAAAAATGAGGCAGGATGACAGAATGGAGGACCATGTTGGTTGGGGTGGTTTTAATTATTTATGTAGGGACAGCTAATATTTTGTGGTCCAACATCTAGATATTTTGGAGGAGCAATTCAACATAATGTTCTATCCAGTTGGTTGTTGATGGCTGCAGAAAACAGGTTTCTGTATGTAGCGTGAAAAACATGGAATTGAGAATTTTAAAGCATGGATCTGAGTCCTAGGTCTGCCATTTTAATGGTGCTGTTATCTCAGGCAACCTTTAATTCCTGAATCTATTACCTTATTTGTAAGATGAGGAAAAATATTTGATATGCATATGTGCAAATTAGGTGGTGAGAAATAAGTAAGAACTCTGTAAAATTATAAAAGATTTTAAAAATATTTAATGATTACTACTTTGGTTCTCTCTTTTTTTATCGGTTCATCTTCCTCAAGTGAATGAACAGTTCAAAGCATGCCCCAAATCTAGCTGTAGTAAACCCATCTTTCCCTTGCCAACCACTTTGCCTCCAGTTAACAAAGTGAGTCGGGACACTTTGCGGAACTGGTGCCAACAACTTAATTTAAGTACAGATGGAAAGGTGAGTGCATGGGTGGGACTCTCTGGTGCTTGCAACAAGCATGGGAAGGAAGCTCTGCCAGCTTTTAATTTTTATTTCCCTTCTTAATTCTCCTAGAAAGTAGAGGTTTATCTGAGACTTCAGAAACATGCTTATCCTGGAAAAAATCAGGTGAGTGAGGAGTGTGGTGACGTTAAGTTCTGATTGTGAATTTTTCCTCCTCTCCCACCTCCACCTCCATAAATGTTGTACCATGAAGACAAGGTTTTTCAACCAAAACAATTGAACATTTTGGGCCAAATAATTTCTTTTTGTTTTTTGGGGGTGGGGGTGCTTCCCTCTGATTTCTTTTTTTTTTTTTTTGTAGGGGGCATGGGGGAAGGTAATTACCTTCATGTACTTACATATTTTTTTTGGATGGAGGTACTGGGGATTGAACCCAAGACCTCGTGCATGCTAGGCATGTATTCTACCACTGAACTATACCCTTCCCCCTGCTCTGTTTTTCAGGATGTTTAGCAGCCTAAATATCCCTGGCATCTACCCACTGAGAGTCAACCCCCTCTCCCTACACAGAGTTTTAGCAATCAAAAATTCCCCCTCATTTAGAACTGCTGCTCTAAGGGAACTAACATTCCTAAACCTTTCCCGCACTAACATTCATGGGTCATGTATAAAGAATGATAAAATCGATAAAATCTTTAGGGCCATAGTACTTCCCTGAATGCTCATCGTGAATTCCATTTGCAGTATGTTCCTCAGTCATCACAGGAGGCCAGATTGCAGTCATGTTCAAGGAAACACAAGATGGTGACCAAGAGCGCGAGCACTGGGAAAAGTAAGAGGAGTGAGAGGGAGGAAGGGACCAACGTGGTTGAAGTGATAACTTCAGCTCAGGAAGCTATGTTGGCAGCATGGGCAAGGATCGCCGCACGAGCTGTTCAGTCTAAGGCTGTGAATTCACGCCCGGTTCCTTCTTCTGTGGAGACCTTTCTGCCACAAGCCGCTGGTAAGATCAGCCTTATGAAGTGAGCATGATGCTGGAGAAAGAAGGTGCACTTTTATTAGTCCAACACTGATGGTAGTGAAAGGGAAAGAGTTAGTTAAAATATCTGCAGACTGGATATTAGGTTCACCGAGGGCTTATGTTGTGACTGACAGCCGAGGTTTGCCTGAATGGTTCTCTGTGTCAGGTAACTGAGTGGCACCCTTCCTCACCGCTAAGCACAAGTCCAAGGTGGGAAGAAAGCATAATGTGGTCAGCCACAGCCTAAGGTCTTCCCTTTTTCGTTCCCTTCCTCAGGGCTTTCGTGACACAGTAAGATGGTGTTAGAATTAAACAGCTTTGGATCAAATCCTTGTCTTATGCCACTTCCTAAGTATGTGACGTTGACAGCTTACTCAGCGTAAGCTACTTACTCAGCGCTGGTACCCCGACTGATGAAATGATCTCAACCACCCTCCTTCACAGAACGATCGTGAGGCTTATGGGATACAGCTTGGCATATTAAAACTAGGCAACATACTTAAAATGTTTGGGTCCCCTGTCCTCTTAAGGAACCTGGAGAATAACTTAGTCTCATCTTTTTCCATTTCCTGTTCCTTTCTCTTGGATATTTTTGTTTTCATCTCCAGCAGACCCTACCTCAGGCCAGCACAAAGTCATCGTTTTACACGACTTGAATTCTTTTCCTCTCTCCACTCCATTTCCAGAAGTGTCTTGGATCCTCTTTTATTTGGGACTGACTTGTGTGGTAAAGCACACTGTTCATTACGCAGAGAAGTCAGCTAAAAAGAAGACAGAGCCGAAACTGGCCTGTTGATAGCACCTCAGGTTTACTCATCCTTTTAGCTGCTCTTCATTCAGCAGTTACTAAGCACCTGCGGGGGGCCAGGAGTATGCCTGGCCACGGGGCAAACTGTGCTAAGCGCACATAATCTCTACTCTTGTTGTACAGCCCGACTGGGAAGATTTTATAGATGTTAAGCCCACAGTGACTGCTCCTTTCTCTCAATTTCAGACACTTGATATCTATAAGACTTACTCTGTTGTCTCTCAAATATCCCATCTCCCCAGTCAGATTTTTCCTTAGACTTTTAAACAAAGATCCTTTTGCGTGTTTCCTGTACTTGAGGCAGTACAAGGTAGTGATTAGGCAAATGGACTGTGAGCCAGAGTACCTAGATCCATGTCTTGGTTCTGGGAAAATTATGATATTTTAATAATATAAGCTTCACTTACCTTACTTGTAAATTAAAGGAAATAGAAGGTAAATATTACTAACGTTCTTAAGAATATATGTCTGAATGCATGTAAACCACTTAGCAAAATCCTGAACAGAAAGCAGATTTTCCCAAAACTTAATTATTATTATCCCTTGTGCTGTGTAGTTTGTGAAGTTAGATTATAGTGTGTTTTGTTCTGCATTCTTCATGCTTCTCATTCAGCTGATTCATCAACAGAATATAAGAGCAAAATCAAGAGTGACTTGCTGAGGGGTTGGATTGGGGTGCTGGTACCTGACCTTAGCAGTTTATAGTTGCTTCTCTTTCCCCGGCCCAGGTGTCAGGTGGTGCGTGGTCCACGGCAGGCCTCTCCTGGCAGACACAGAAGGTTGGGTTCGCCTGCAGTTCCATGCAGGTCAGGCCTGGGTACCGAACACTCCCAGGAGGATGATCTCTCTCTTCCTGCTACCTGCCTGCACTTTCCCATCCCCACACCTGGAAGATAATATGTTATGCCCTGAATGTGCTAAGAGGTAACCCTTAAGTGTCTTTCTAAGTATGATACACAGAAAAGTAGATGTCTAGGTGGGTCTCTGAATAATTTAGTAGGAGAAGGCAGAGGGCAAACATACTGTTTTCTTAATTTTGCCATATAGATCAGGCAAAGTGGTAGTGGATTAGAACTCAGATAAATGTGACTTCTTAACAATCTTAACGAAGTATTTGATAGGTTAGGACCTTAACAGCCTCAATTCTAGACAGATCTGTTTTAAGAAAGAAAAAAATTAAGATTTCTTACTCTGTGTCGGATACTTAGGAGGGGATAAAAAAAATCGTGAGACAAAACCCATGCAGTATGCTGGAATGAAAATGAGTAAGAGATGCTATGAAATTTTTGGGTAGTACCTATATTGGAGTAGTTCAGGGACACTTCAGAAGGAATTACATGCATTGAGGAAGAGCTTACCCGTTACTAGGTAACAATTAGGGCATTTTGGTAGTGGAAACCATCCATAACAATACATGGAAATGGAAGAATATGACATACTTAGAGATTGCAAATAAGTCGACATGATTGAATCTTATATTGACAAATAAGCCTGGGAAGAGAAGGAGCAGACTATTGAAGGGTTCATATCTATATTAAGGCCTTATATGTTAGCCTGTGGGTCATAATTTCTCAGTCCCCTTTGGGACATAGACTCTTTTGGGAAAATAATGATAATTACATCCCCTCCATCCAGGAAAATGCACATTGGACACACACATAAGCAGTGCTTTGGAATTTCTATAGGCATAGAACTCCTAATTGTTATCCATGAGTGCAGAATTTAGCTTTTGATGGTAGAATTGGGTGGAGGTGATGTGAGATGGATGTGAAGGGAAATTAAGGGTCTATTTTTAGGAAGTAGATTGAAATCTTGCAATGGAGACTAGAAACAGGGTGAGATTAATAATTCTGGAAAGATATAATTTATGATTAAATTGGCAAAGAATTTAGAGAGGAATGGGCCAAATTTAAGAGTTGTAGGAGTATAGAGGACAGGACGCCATCTTATTAGAGGAAAGGTAGAAGTTCAGTTCAACAGCAAAAAATATGTCATGTGGGACATGCTTTATGTGGGTCTAACTTTCAGAGAGAAGTATGGGTTAGAGAGAAACATCTTCGGGAGTCATTAACATACAAATTAAACATAAGAATATGTAGGAATTAGAAGGGACAGAGGAAAGAAACCTTAAAGAGAATCAGCATATTGGTGGCAGGTAAGCAACAGAGACTGAAAAAGTGCATTTAGAGGTGGGGAGATGAGAAAAGAAAGCACCGGATAGAGTGGTTCAGAAGGAAGTGGTTGGCAGTGAGAAGGCCTGGTAAGATTATGATTGAGTGCTGTTGGGAATGTCAATTTGGGATGCCATTGGTAGGCTTTATGCGAGTAGGTTGAGAGGGTCAGGTGATAGTGATAAGTCCGAGTAGAGCATGTGAAGGACTCGGAACCGGTCATATTGATGATCTCTACTACCTGAGCAGAGCATAGGAGATAGCAGATAGTTGAGGCAGTAATATCAAGGGAGCTTGTCTCCTTCCCTCCCTCCACCCTTCCTTCCTCCCTCCCTTCCTTCTTTCCTTCCTCCTTCCCTTCCTCCTTCCTTCCTTCTTTCCTTCTTTCCTTCTTTTCTTCTTTTCTTCCCTCCCTTCCTTCTTTCCTCCCTCCCTCCCTTCCTCCTTCCTTCCTTCTTTCCTTCTTTTCTTCCTTCTTTCCTTCCTCCCTCCCTCCCTTCCTTCTTTCCTTCTTTTCTTTCTTCTTTCCTTCCTCCTCCTCCCTTCCTTCTTCCTTCCTCCCTCCCTCCCTTCTTCCTCCCTTCCTCTCTTTTTCTTCTTTTCAATTTTTAATGGAAAAGCCATGAGTGTGTGTGAATAGAGAGGGGATGTCAGGGAAGCTGTGGGAAGGAAAGGGTGGGTATAAGGATAAAGGAAGTAGAACCAATGATAGTATACAGAATATGAGCCCTGATACTAAATGGAAAATCTTGTTCCTTTGTTTACTACATAAAATCTTTTTACCCACCATCCTTAAATGGTGGGGCAAACTACTCAAAGCCCAGAATTTTGTGTATTTCTTATTTTATTGGTCACTTTTAAGGGGTGGTATGGAATGGTCTATCTTATTCTAACAGTTTTTCGAAATTCTTTTCTAACTTGCTTTACAGGAATAAAAAAATAATGAAAAGATTAAGTGCATTGGGGGAGAAGAAGAAACGCAGTTTGAACACATCAACATCATTCCTCTTAGATGGGCCATGTCCTAATAAAAAATAAATGACTACCAGAGGGGAAGGGATAGATGGGTGGGCAAAATGGGTGAAGTGGGGGTAACTGTATGGTAATGATGGTGACAGACTTACCATGGTCTATACTTGTAGTGTATACGAATATCAAATTTACTATATGTACATCTGCAACTAATATAATGTTATATGCCAATTCTACTTCAATTAGAAAAAATGTAGAAATCTATTGAAAACAACAACAAAAACTACTATTGCTATTAATACCACAAATAAAATAAAATAAAGCAAAATTTTAAAAACCCCAAATGTTTGTTAGAATTCACCTGTGAAGTCATCTGGCTTTTGTTTGTTGGGAAGTGTTTTGATTACTGATTCAATCTCCTTATTAGTAATCAGGGGAGGAAACAAAAAGGAATATGGAGATCCCACAGCTAAAGTGACCTGCATCCCAATGTTTGCCGTGCTCTGTCCTAGCCATCCTCAGTGTTGCCTGATGCCTTGAGTACAGATGGGAATGTCTGGATTCTGTGCTAAGGTTTACCAAAGAGTGACTGCTACTGCTTCAAGTATTAGCTATATAGAATATAATCTGGTTTTGTTTTAATAAATAGATTTTTAAAGCAGTTCTAGGCTTTCAGAAAACAGAGCTCTCAAACACTACCTCCTCCTCCATTTCCCCATGCCCTCTACTATCAACATCCTGCACCCGAGTGGTACGGTTGTTGAACCTACATTGACCCATCATTATCACTCAAAGCCCACAGTTTACATTAGGTCTCATTCTTTGTGTCATTCATCCTGGGGGTTTTGATCAGTGTATAATGACATATACCCACCATACAAAATAGTTTCACTGCCCTATACAAATGCCCTGTGCTCCACCTATTTAACACTTCTTCCCCTTCAACCCCTGACCACTGATCCTCTTACTGTCTCCATAGCTTTGCCTTTTTACAGAATGTCATACAGTTGGAATCATACAATAGCCTTTTCAGATTGACTTCTTTCACAGCAATGTGTATTTAAGGTTCTTCCATGTTTTTTTCATGCTTGGAGAGCTCACTTCTTTTTAATGCTGAATATTATATTGTCTGGATGTACCATAATTTATTCATCCACATATTGAAGGCACCTTGGTTGCTTCCAAGTTTTGGCAATTATGAGAAAAGCTGCTATAAACATTTGTGTTCAGGTTTTTGTGTGAACATACATTTTCAACTCATTTGGGTAAATACCAAGGAGCATGATTTCTGAATTACACGAGTGTGTTTAGTTTTGTAAGAAACTGCCAAACTGTTTACCAAGGTGGCTATGCTATTTTACATTCCCACCAGCAATGAATGAGAGTTCCTTCTGCTCCATATCCTCACCAGCATTTGGGGTTGTCAGTGCTTTGGATTTTGACCATTCTAAAAGGTGTGTAGTAGTAACTCCTTTTAATTTGCAATTCCCTAGTGACATATGATGCGGAGCATCTTTCCATAGGGTTATTTGCCATCTTTATATTTTGGTGAGGTGTCTGTTCAGGTCTTTTGCTCATTAAAAAAAAATCTGGTTATTATTGAGTATTAAGATTTCTTTTTTTATTTTGGATATAGTTTTGCAAATATTTTCCCCAGATCTGTGGGTATTCTATCATTCTCTGGATTAGTCATTTAACAAATTGGTGTTTCAAGTGATTGATATAGATGGATTAAGATCTATATTTGTTTTTTGCCCTAGTTTCTTATTTTTTCATCTTCCCCTCTTTCCCTTTTTACCTCAGTTGAACATTTTGATTCCATTTTCCCCCTCTTTGCATATCAGTTATGCTTTCACTACTTTTTATTAGTGCTTGCCCTTGAGTTTGCAATAAATAATTACAAATAATCCATGTTCTCTTTCAAATAACAACATATCACTTCATGAGTATTACAAGTGCCTTGTAATACAGTATTCCCAATTCTTACTTCTTCCTTATAATACTGCTGTCATTCATTTTACTTATGTATTTATTTATTTTGAACAAACTGTTATGTGCTAGATCAATTAAGAATAAGAAAAAAATATTTTATTTTATCTTTATTTCTTCTCTAAAACTTCCTTCCTTTAGAGCTGATTTTCTGACCTATATTGTATTTTCTGAAGTTTTTCTTTTTTTTAAGAATCCAGCTTTATTAAGCCAGACGTTAATCGCAAAAGATTTGTAAAACAATGCCAGTCTTCTGGCTAAATTCATTTTAGGAAAATATAGTTATTCTTTAAAAGACATTTATAATATCAACAAGTAGTGGGTTTATTGTTATTTTTAATAAATAATTATATTCTGGGTTAGGGACCTTTGCAGAGTCTCTCCCAAGGCTCCAAGCATCCAAGCGGAGCCAGCATTCTATGTGAATCGTTGCTGTTTTCGAGCATCCTCAAAAGATCCCTGGCTGGTTGGGGTTCACAACTGCGATGTATCGGTGGGCGGAGCTCGGGCGAGAGTGAGCAGTAACTCTCTCGCCCTTCCGTCCAGAGTGGGGCGCAGCACCTCTCCGGAACCTGCACGGCTCCCGCTTTGGTTCCGGTCGGAGCGACCTAGGGGCGCACGCCCGCCGGGCTGCGCTGGTGGTGAGGTGTTCGGCGTGCAGGAGCCTGCGGCCTTCGCAACGGTCCCGAGGGGACGGCGACGACACAAGTAAGGGGTAAGGTCCAGTGACGGCAGCATCCGGCTGCCGCCCTTCGGGAAACTTCTCCAGCCCTTCCACTTCCCGCACCCTCCTCTGAAAAATTTCTTTTAACATTTTTTGACAGACAGGTCTACTGGTGACCAATTGCCTCAGTTTTTGTCTGAGAAGGCATTTCTCCACTTTTGAAGGATAATTTTGCTAAACACAAAATTCTAGATTTTTTTTCCCCTTTAGATACTTTAAATATTACTTCACTCTTTGCTTGTTTGCATATTTGCTGAAGGGAGGTCATAAATTTCCCCTTTTGCCTCCAACCTTCATTTTGAAAACATTAAAACACAGAAGAACTATAAACAGTATGATGAATACCTGTATCCTCTCCACCTAAATTTAGTGTGCTAATATTTTTCTATATTTGCTATATATTATTATAGCATATATACATTTTTTTACTAAATCATTTAAAAGTTGTAGAGATCATGAAATATCACCAAAAACTGTCTGCATGTATTTCCTAAGGAAAAAAAATCTTTGCATAAACATAGTACCACTGTCACTCTTATGAAAATAATATATCCTTAATATCTAATAACCAGAGTTTTTCAAATGTTCACAATTGTGCCAAAATGTTTCTAAACAAAATCCAGTCAATGCTCACACATTGTATTTAGTTATTACAACTTTTTCAGGATCAATTCCCCATTTTTTTCATTACAGTTTTTTTTTGAGGAGTCTAAGCTAATTGTTTAGCAGAAGGTCCTACCTTCAGAATGAGAGGAAATTCCTCCCTTTGTCTTACTCTTTTTATTTCTATTATAAAATGAATACATGCTCATTATAGTAAAAAGAAGTGTGGAAAGTGAAAACCATGTTTTTAAAATTTCCAAGAGACAGTAAGTAAGTATACATTAACAGAAGGGTCAGTTTGTCAAGAAGATGTAACAAAGGTATATGTACCAAATACAGTCCAGAATCACATGATGCAAAGAAAACTGAAGGGATAAATAGACAGTTCCACAGTAGTTGGAAATTTCAATACCCCACTTTTAATAATGCATAGAAGACAAAATTTCAGTAAGGTAATAGAAAATTTAAATAATACTGTAAACCAACTAGACCTAACAAACATCTATAGAATCCCCAACTACAGTAGAATGCATATTCTTCTCAAGTACACCTGAAACATTGTCCAGGATAGACAATATGTTAGGCCACAAAACATGCCTCAATAAGTTTTAAAAAATTTGAATGATGCAAAATATTTCCTCTGACCAAAATGGAATGAAGAAATCAGTAGAATCCATAATAGAAGGAAATGAATAGAAGACGTAACAGAAGGAAAACTAGAAAACTCACATCTGTGCGGAAATTACACAGCACACTTCAAAATAACCTATGGATCAAGGAATAAATCACAAAGGAAATTAGAAAATACTTAGAGATTTGAAAATGCAACATACCAAAACTTACGGATGTAGTGAAAACAGTGCTCATTATGGAAATTTTTGTAGTAAATGCCTACCTTTAAAAAGGAGAAAGATCTCAGATTAATAACCTAATTGTATACCTTAACACATCTGTAAAGGAACCTTTCTAACCTAAAGTTAGAAGATAGAGGAAATAATGAGTATTAGAGCAAATATAAATGAAATAAATAATATAAAAACAGTAGAATCAGTGAAACCATAAATTCTTTGAAAATATCAACAAAATTGACAGATCTTTATCTATATGAAAAAAACCAGATTGCTAAAATTAGAAAGAAAGGGGAACAGTATCAATTTTACATAAATAAAAAGAATTATTGAGAAAATATTGTGAACAGCTTACCAACAAATTTTGTAAGCCGGATAAAATGGAAATATTCATAGAAACCTATAAACTACCAAAACTGACTCAAGAAAGACAGAAAATCTGAAAAGTTAGGCAAGAAAAAGAAATAAACATAATCTAACTTGGAAAGGCAGAAATAAAGTTATGTCTATACACACGTAATGTATTACATATAGAAAGCTCAAAATCATCCATCAAAAAACTGTTAGAGCTAATTAACAAATACAGGAAATTTGCAGAACATAAAAATCAACACGCAAAAAATCAGTTTTTTTTTTTTTTACCAGCAGTGATGATCAGAAAAGGAAATTAAGAAAATGATTTCATTTACGATAGCATCAGAAACAGCATAAAATACTAAGGAATAAACTTTACTAAGAAGGTACAAAAGACTTGTACACCAAAAACTGTAAAACATAACTGAAAGAAATTACCTTTCCCTCTTAGTTCATTAGTGTGGTAAAAAAAAATTGATCAATTTCAAATGTAGAAACACACTTGTATTTTTTATACTGCTAGCTTATCATGATTCATTTTATTACTATATTTTATATATTTTATTTGAAAATTTTTGCACCAAAGAAATGTTGAACGAATAAAAATAATTTACCATTTGTTAACATTTGGGCCATATTTAATAAACTTCTTTTTCCATTTGTTTTTGATTGGTTGGTTACCCTGCCAGATAGAGTAAGCAGACACATTCTTCTCCCCTAAATACTTGCACCTTCTAAGTATAAGGGTATTCTTAATAATCACAATATCATTAACAATCACAATATCATTATAAAACCTAAGAAATAAACAGCCATTCCATAATAGCATCTAATGTCTAGTTCATATTCAAATATGCTTAATTGTCCCCAAAATATGTTTTGTAGTTTTCTTTTAAAAATCCTGGATTTAATAGTCAGACATTCCATTTGATTGTAGTGTCTTTCTAGTTCCTTTTAATGAAGAAAGATCTGTTTTTTTTTAATCTTTAATGATATTGACCTTTTGAGAGAAAAGGTCAGTTTTCTTGTATACTACATTCTGGATTGTTTTTTTACCTCATGGTGTTCTTTGACTAATTTTCTATATTTCCTGTAAACTCGAAATTAAGACTGAAGGTTGATTAGATTCAGATAAAACATTTTTGGCAAGACTACTTCATGGAGGAGATGAGGGCTTTATATTTCATTGCATGAGAAGGTGTACAATTCAGATCATCTCATCATTATATTAAAAATGTTATCACTTTATTAAAGTGATGACCACCAGATTTCTCCAAGGTCTAGATGCAGTTTTCACTTGGAAATTTGTACAACTCTTAAGGGTGATACTTTTACACCATGTGACTATCTCTCCCCTTCCCAACAAATCTTCACCTAATGAATTTTAGCATCCAATGGTCATCCATTTTCTGAATCAATTATTACACTGATGGTTGTAAAATCTTATCAATCTTTATTCATTTTTTTAGTTGGCATTCTGTTATAAAGAAGAACTTTCCCTACCCTCTTTCCTTTTTGAGTACCATTATGGCCTCATGGTTTTAAAATGTTTTTTAATTTATTTTTTAATTAAAAATTGTTTTTGTATTTAACTTTTGTTTATGTGTTATAATCAATTAATATTATCATAATGCATTAAAAGACTCTTGGATTCAGTTAGCTCATATTTTATTCAAAATTGTGTTAAACAAGTGATTAGCTTTATCATATTTTTTATGTACCGACTTACTGTTTCTATGATATAGACTATACCAGTATTATTAACAGAGTTTGGAAATGTTAATCTCTTTCTATTTTTTGGAACAAGTTGTATAATAAGGAAATTATTTAGTACTTGAAAGTTTGTGGTATTCACATGTAAAAACATCTAGGCAGGATTTATATTGAGGGATATATGTGATGATCATTTCAATTTCTTTAATCAGTTTTGGTTTATACAAGTTTTCTGTTTATTTTTATGCTACTTATTCCATCTTATATTTTTGCAGAACTTTTGTTTCTTGCAAGTTTTCAAAGTTATCATGATTTTTTTTTGTCTACACTGTCAGTAGTTAATTTCTCTTTTAGATTCTATATTTTGTTTATTTGATTTTTCTCTTGTTTTCATACTCAGTCTTTTTAGAAATTTATTCATGTTATTAAACTTTCCAAGGAATAATGCCCAGGTAGGGTTCTTCAGGAAGCAGACTCTGAGACAGAGGATAGGGTACAGGATATTGGGGAGTATCTTTGGAACCAACAGCTATGGAAGAGAAGGGAAGAAAGTAGGATTGGGGAGAGGGAGAAATCAGAAGGTGATGCAAGCAGGAATCAAAGGCTTGGCCAATCTCTAGGGGGCAGTTTTGGAGCTAAACTGTCAGGGTTGGCCTACCTTAGGTCAAATGTTTCTGCCGTATATCCTAGCCAAGGGAGTCACTAGTTGTGGGCTGCTCAGGGAAGATCATGACCTTGGGCAGAGGCATCTGTCTGCAACTAAGAGGCTGTTCCAGGGACTGATAGCTGGAGGCTATCTCCTGACTACAGTCTCTTTCACTGCAGGGGAATCTGGGCAACTCATGTCCAAGTCCACGACAGCTGATTTCTGGTTTTGATCATTTTCTGCCTTGCTGTTTTATTTTCTGGTTCCTTAATTTCTGTTATTATCTTTCTTTTTCCTTCTTCTATGTGTTTTTGAACTTATTCAGTGGTTCTTTTTCTAGCTGGGGTTGTAATTTTCCTTGAATTAAATTATTGGCTCATTTATAGTCAGTCCTTCTGTATTTTGATCAGTATTTTTAAAGCTAGAATTTTCCTCATTAAGAACTGCTTTCTTTAATTACAGGAAATTCTCATTTTTTCAAAACACTTTTTTCTTTGTATTTTTTCTCTCTTCTAGGGCTCTGATTAAATATTGTTAACTTTAATCCTTAATAGCTCTTACTTTTATTTCATAATTTTATCTTGGGTTTATATCTGAAAGATCAGGATTAGTAAGGCATTTGCCAGATGGAAGGAGTTTTGAACAAGGAGTTCCTAGAATCTTTCTTCTCTTAGGTCTGACAGGACATGTAAATGCCCAGAGTAAATTTATGCTACCATGAAAGGCAGTAACTCTGCTCCTCAGCAAGCCAGCAGGATTTCTACCACCTCCAGGATGCCACAAAGTGGGAGAAAAATGAGCATGTCACTGTTAGCTCTGTCTCAGCC